GTTGCTTGCAGTTGTTTTGCGGTTGTATGCTTTTATCTGCCTCGGCTCATCGGCATGCCGAGCTCAGCTGCATCTGACGTATATTCTGTTTTCGGATTGACGCCCACTTTCATCATCAAATGTATTCATAAGTTGGCTTACCAACGAACAACTTGGGGGGAGATTAACTTCAAATTGCTCCAACCACCAACTGTAAGCGCTTCACTCACTCTGGGTCGCTTCAGATGATATTACTGAATTTGTCCACATTGAAGTGACTCGGTCTCGTGATGCTGTCCAATTCCACTCGGCACTGCTACCAGAAAGTAACCTCATCCAGGATGGACTGCAGCTTCCTCCGCAACCGGGTCACAAGTGAGGAGTGAAGTACAAAACATACTCGGCCTTCCACATAGCAAAGTTGTTCAGTTGGGTTGTCGCTTAAGCAGATGCATATTTGGCACTATAGACTTTTTTTAGAAACTACTGATAACGAATACAAGTAGTATTGTCGATTGTAATGGCAAATACATGCTCGCCTCGACGACAGTCTGCCATACAATGGTTATATGAGAGATGTCTTGGTTACTTTGAAATTCAGTTGTCGCTGTCTGACCGGCAGTGTGGTGCAGCGCTAACTTGTACTTCTGTTCTAGTGGAAACAGCGGTCCATCTTGTAGGAGAATACTTTTCAGGAGGCAAAGCCAAGTGCAATTTTCTTGGACCGCGAGGCATACTCATCTTACTTGAGTAAATGCATTAGCAGTCCTCTTTCCTCTTGAGCTACTAGAGCTCTTGTGCAAGAGCAAAGGGTTGCCTCCAAATCCCACTTAAAACAAATGTTTAACGCGTTGGCAGAGCAGTCAATGCTGACTACTTTTTCGGAAATCCTTTCGAGAGCGCGACTCATTTTTGCAAGTTACGTCTACATGCAGCCAAAGTAAAGATCACAGGCTCTTCGTATCGACATGTACTGAGAAGCAATTTCTGAGCAGTCGCAGTTGCCCATTCGCAGTACAACGGGAAACATACGACATCGACCTTCGAATCTCCGTATCATGCACTTTCATACTCCCAAGCAATGTTCTCCTCCGAGATTCATCGAAGCCCACTTCTTCTTCGTGTCTACAAAACCGTTGACTTTATTCTGGCCTCGTATTCATACGAACTTCTCTTCACTTGACGATCTGGCATCTTTCAGTAGTGCCGATGCTCAATAGAGATTTCTTTTTTGCCCACAAATTGTAGACTTTCCCACTGCCCTGTTTGCCTGCATCGCAAGGCAACCTTATGCTCAAGTTCGAGATGAATTCATCATAAACCACTAGCTTTTTTTGCTCGGCCCACTTTGGCCAAGTCCCACTGAGACTATTTTGCCGGCTCCTTCGCTCAACTCTCGAGCGCATTCTATCGCTTTTCTTGCGCTGTCGTCCCACGACAGATCATCAACTCTCGCTGGAAGCCTTTCCTGCCCTTTCTTTGCTTGCAAATCTCAGCCTTGTTGAGATTGTTGCTTCCTTTGGAAGGTGAGAACAGCAGAAATCTTCCGTCCTGATGGAGTGTACATTTGCAGTGCTCACTCTCTCTTGTCAGAAGTGACCTTTGTCGGAGTGGAAGTGAGTGGAGCCGGTGACAAATCAGTTTCGTACAGACCATTCATCTCATCGAAAATTGCCATCATTTGCAAGTCACCTCGTCTTTTACTGAAAGCCAAATGGCCAGTGTTTGGTGGAGGCAACGTCGACCGACGTTGTCCATTCGATTACAGCAATTTGGCTGGCCTCACGAGACGAACGGCCTGCGCATGCTTGAACTCGATCAAATAAACACTTTCCTCAATCCTCTCCGATGGCCTGGCTGCATCGGAGCTGATGGGCTGGCGGTATCACATGTCCTTCTCTTGCCCGATTTCACACCGCATCGCCCTTTCTGCCTCTTTTTGACCATTTTACCAGAACCACTTGCT